CCTCCTCCTCCTCCTCCTCCTCCTCCTCCTCCTCCTCCTCCTCCTCCACAATTACACAATATGAAAATATGTTCCCACTTCCCCTGATGGCGTCCCGAAGATATCCGACACCCCCCCCGCGTACTGTTTTTTAACACACAGGATTCCCGGGAAACGGGTTTTCGCTTGCGTTTGTTTCCAAATGCTGCTCTCGCTGAGGCGCCCGCCTCATTTCTGCTCCCGAATCGTTCCGAATCGTGCTCCCGCTGCAGCGTGGGCCTCATTTTCGGATCGGTGTTTGGCCTCCGTCGTTCAGGATGGCGTTCTCGCCCCAGCGCGGGCCTCTTTCTCGCGCGCCCATCCGCCCGCCACCACCGCGCCGCACCACCACCACCACCACCACCACCACCACCACCACCACCACCACCACCACCACCACCACCACACCACCACCCACCACACAACCACGCACACACGCACGCACGCACGCACGCGCACCACCACCCACTACGCACGCGCGCGCGGAGCCACAGGTCCGCTACGACACGCGTCCGCGGATAGAGAAAATCAGCGCCATGGTAAGGGATGGGAGGGAGGGGTAGGACGTCAGATATGACGCGAGCGCACCTAGCTTGTCCCTCCCCCTCCCCCTCCCCCTCCTCCTCCTCCTCCTCCTCCTCCTCCGCCTCCTCCTCCTCCTCCTCCTCCTCCTCCTCCTCCTCCTCCTCCTCCTCCTCCTCCTCCTCCTCCTCCCTCTCCTCCTCCTCCTCCTCCTCCTCCTCCCTCCTCCTCCTCCTCCTCCTCCTCCTCCTCATCTCCTCCTCCTCCTCCTCCTCCTCCTCCTCCTCCTCCCCTCCCCCTCCTCCTCCTCCTCCTCTCCTCCTCCTCCTCCTCCTCCTCCTCCTCCTCCTCCTCCTCTCTCCTCCTCCTCCTCATCCTCCTCCTCTCCTCCTCCTCCTCCTCCTCCCTCCTCCTCCTCCCCCGAGCCGGCGCAGCCCGCAGGCCAGCCCCGGACGCGGAGGCTCCGCCGCTCCGGGCCTGCGGCCACCGCTGCGGGTGCCCTCCGCGCGCCCCGCGGGCGCCTCCCGCGACCAGCCAGCGAGAGGCCCCGCCGAGAAGCAGAAGATGGCGATGGCGTTTTCCCCCGCATGCGGCGAGCGCGCGGCCTTCCAGGAGGCAGCTGGCCACGCCGAGCCCACCGGCGCATGCGAGGGCATGCATGCATGCAGACTCTGGATGCCGAGGTACGACGAGGAGCAGAGCGGGCTGCAGGGAAGCGATCCGTCAGTGCCGAAGCAGAGGAGCCGGGTGGCAGATAGTCGCGATCGGCAACCTCTTAGCAGTCGCTCGACGTGTTGCGGTAAAGCGACCGCGCCACGTGACTGGTCATGCTGGCCGTTCTGACTGAGGCCCGTCCCCAGGATGGAGCGTGTGAGCAAGTATGGGCGTCCAGTCACCGCGACGACAAAAGACACAAGTGAGTGCACCTAATTGGAGCGAGGGGGGGGACCCCGCGCCATCGGTTGCACGACCACCAGCCAGCCGAATTACACAGGGAGGGACGACAACGATTCTAAACAGGAGGAAGCGAGAGTCGAGGGGAAGGAAGGGCGCAAATCCAAACAACTACCGTGATACGGAAAACAAAAAAAAGACGGCACAACACAAAATGTCAGGAGGTCCGCCCAGATTTCTCGGGCCCTCCTTCCGGGCGCGCGGAGCGCGCCAGGGGCGGCGCCGCAGGGGGGCCCGGCGCCGATCAAAGAAAGATCTGCGCGGACCTCCGACAGCTCATGTTCGTGCAGCTGTTCCTTAGATACGAATTCGACATAGATTACAGTCGGACTCGATCGGCGAGGACACGCGAGAGGACACAGGACCCTTCCGAGGGCCCCACTGCCACAGGAATGCGAAACGGCATGCGTCGCGAGGCACAGGACACAAGGGTATCCTTGATCTGGCAAGATCGACCTACCAATCAAGGCCGACTGTACAATGCAACCCTGTGGCTTCGCTCGGGCAGGGCGAAAGGGGGGACAGCAAGGGGGGGGGTGAGAATCAGCTCACGCAGCTGAGTTTCCCGGCGCCTCCCGGCGCCAGAGGCGGCCATGGATCGAGGAATGGGTTCCTCGGCGGGGCTGACACCAGCTGCACGCAGCAGACTTCGTAACCCCCCCTTTCCCCATTACCCCCCGTTCGTCTGGCCCGACTCGGCCAAGGGCCTCCAGCGGTGCCCCGAGACCGCCAAGAAGTGTAAGCTTATGTCGGGCGTGTCCCCCTACAGGGGGATTTCCAACGAAAAACAAAAAATACCCCAAAAATACCTCCAAAAAGGCCAAAACATACTCAAAAAATAGTCCCAAAACTATGTTTGCATTATTTTCTTATATTTTTGGGGTACTTTTCATTTTCCGTCAAGAATCCCCCTGTAGGAGGACAGGCCCGACCTAAGCGTAAGCGGGTCCCGCGCTCTCCGTGGACGTGCCGCCGAGCGAGCGCGGCCGCCGGGCGGGCCTCGCGGGGCGCAGAGGCTGCTCTTGCGTCCGCGAGGCGCCCCGGGCCTCGGCGAGACCGCCCCCGACCTTCCAGAGAGCTATCCTTCAGCACTGGAGGCCTGAAGACCCAAAACACTGAACGAAACGCCCTAAAACCAAAGCGTAGAATGGCGTTGGGATCTGTTTTCAGGTCGAGCGCTATTTTTTAGCCCTCCTGGAAGGTCAGGGGCCGAGGCGCCTCGCCGAGGTCGCCGGGCGCCAGCGGCTGCCACAGTCTGGCCGGGCCTGTCCCCCTACAGGCCGAGCTCCGCCGAATAGCCAAAGATGCTCCTAAAAATGTTCCAAGAGTGCCCACAGATACTCCAGATCTCGTAATTTGAAGGAGTTTCTGTGGAACTACAGTCATCCTCACCCCCGGCGCGGTGCCCAGAGGAGCCCAGAGCGGCCTCCGGCACCGTTTCCGGACAGATCCGCTGGATCCGGTGACGAATCCCAAACCGGCGCCCTCGCTTGAGACATCCTCACAAAACCGGCCCCGGGGGCGGTGCCCAGAGGAGCCCAGAGCGGCCTCCGGCACCGTTTCCGGACAGATCCGCTGGATCCGCCGACGAATCCCAAACCGGCGCCCTCGCTTGAGACATCCTCACAAAACCGGCCCCGGGGGAGGTGCCCAGAGGAGCCCAGAGCGGCCTCCGGCACCGTTTCCGGACAGATCCGGTGGATCCGCTGGATCCGCTGGACCGGTGACGAATCCCAAACCGGCGCCCTCGCTTGAGACATCCTCACAAAACCGGCCCCGGGGGAGGTGCCCAGAGGAGCCCAGAGCGGCCTCCGGCACCGTTTCCGGGTCAGATCCGCTGATCCGGTGAGAATCCCAAACCGGCGCCCTCGCTTGAGATCCTCACAAAACCGGCCCGGGGGGGTGCCCAGGTCGCACCGCGCGGGATCCGGCACCTTGGCAGATCCGGGGGATCCGCCGGGAACCGGCGCCCTCGCTGAGACATCCTCACAAAACCGGCCCCGGGGGAGGTGCCCAGAGGAGCCCAGAGCGGCCTCCGGCACCGTTTCCGGACAGATCCGGTGGATCCGGTGACGAATCCCAAACCGGCGCCCTCGCTTGAGACATCCTCACAAAACCGGCCCCGGGGGAGGTGCCCAGAGGAGCCCAGAGCGGCCTCCGGCACCGTTTCCGGACAGATCCGGTGGATCCGGTGACGAATCCCAAACCGGCGCCCTCGCTTGAGACATCCTCACAAAACCGGCCCCGGGGGAGGTGCCCAGAGGAGCCCAGAGCGGCCTCCGGCACCGTTTCCGGACAGATCCGGTGGATGTGGATCCGCCGACGAATCCCAAACCGGCGCCCTCGCTTGAGACATCCTCACAAAACCGGCCCTGGGGGAGGTGCCCAGAGGAGCCCAGAGCGGCCTCCGGCACCGTTTCCGGACAGATCCGGTGGATCCGCCGACGAATCCCAAACCGGCGCCCTCGCTTGAGACATCCTCACAAAACCGGCCCCGGGGGAGGTGCCCATGGAGCCCAGAGCGGCCTCCGGCACCGTTTCTGGACAGATCCGCTGGATCCGGTGGATCCGCCGACGAATCCCAAACCGGCGCCCTCGCTTGAGACATCCTCACAAAACCGGCCCCGGGGGAGGTGCCCAGAGGAGCCCAGAGCGGCCTCCGGCACCGTTTCAGGACAGATCCGCTGGATCTGGTGGATCCGCCGACGAATCCCAAACCGGCCCCGGGGGAGGTGCCCATGGCCATGAGCCCAGAGCGGCCTCCGGCACCGTTTCCGGACAGATCCGCTGGATCCGGTGGATCCGCCGACGAATCCTAAACCGGCGCCCTCGCTTGAGACATCCTCACAAAACCGGCCCCGGGGGAGGTGCCCAGAGGAGCCCAGAGCGGCCTCCGGCACCATTTCCGGACAGATCCGGACAGATCCGGTGGATCCGCGCCCCGGGGGAGGTGCCCAGAGAAGGAATGAGGAGGAGGAGGAGGAGGAGGAGGAGGAGGAGGAGGAGAAGATGATGGAGCTGTGGGGTGAAGGAGGACAGACGGAGGCAAGAGAAGGATGGAGGAGGATGGAGGAGTAGGAGTAGGAGGAGGAGGAGGAGGAGGAGGAGGAGGAGGAGGAGGAGGAACCTCATCCTCACCCTCGCCAACAAGCGCACGCACCTTCTTCTATATACAGAAACTCCCGATCAACCGCAGAGCGGCCGGCTAGTAAAAGGGAGGGGGTCTGGACCCTCCAAGACAAGTCATTTCAAACCCCCCCCCGTGGGAGAACCCTCCAAAACATCGTCCCCAGACCCCCCCAGGCCCTCCAAGATAGCTTGGAAAAGACCCCCCCCGAAATGAGACCCCCCTCCCTTTATTACGAAATCTGGAGTCTGGAGTACTCGAAAATTGTCCAAAGAATCGTCCACGGGCTATTTGTGGACCACTCTTGAAGACTCCCCCTGTAGAGGGACAGGCCCAGCATAAGGCTACCTGCAAGCTACTGCGTGCACCAGAAGGGGCGCTAGACAAGGAACGGAGCTCCATTCTGGCCGCAGGAGCGCTGCGTCCAGCCCCTTCCGAACTCGAGTTGCTCCCTTTTGCACCGTCTGGGCTGCCGCTCCAGGTTTGGCGGCGAGCGAGGGGGAGGAAAAGGAAAAGGCCTTCCAGGAAGCGAGAAGGAGAAGGCGCTCGGAAGCCCCCAGGCCGTCTGAGAAGTGCTCTGGGCCTTCCCCGAAGACATAGGACATCTCCCAGAAGGCGCGAGGGCTTCTGAGCAGTCCAGCCGCCTGCTGAGGAGGCCTTCTCCCTCCCACGCTCCCTCCCGGAGGGTTCCAAAGGGGGTTTTTGGGAAAGGGGGGTCCCAGGAGGGGTCCCCTGTTTTGACGAAGTTCCGAGGCCCCAGCTGGGCTCTCTGGAAAACACCCTCCCCCAAAACCCTTTCTGGAACCCGGTGTGGGGACCTTCCCAGACATGCGGCGTCCTGACTTTTTCGATACGAGGCCCCGGGAAGTCCCGACCCTTTCCCTGGGACCGGTTTTCCATCCTGAATCGTTCTTGACGGCCCCGAGGCCCGGCGAGGGCCCCCCGAGGCCGAGATCGGCCAAAAACCTCCCGCCCTGATTTCTGTACGGCGCGATCATGTCCGGGTTGTCCTCCTCTGCTCGCCGCCCGACGGGCCTCGCTGCACGGAGGGCCGCACCGTCGCCTGCACGTGCCAGCGCAGGCGCGGCCCCCAAGCGCGGCCCTCGCCGGGTGGAGCTCTCCCCCCGCCGGCCCGCGGAAGCAGGGACCGGCCGAGGGGGGAACGAACAGCGGCATAAGCACGTCCGCCCGGAAGATCGAGTCAGGAAAAAATCGGGACGGCAGGTTTTCCGCATCTTCGGCCCCTGGGGGGCGCTACCAGGCCTCGGGAGCGTCAAGAAACGGCTCAGGATGAAGAACCGGTCCCGAGGAAGGGGTCCAGACCTCTGGGGGACTACGTTACGAAAAAGTAGACCATACCCAGAAGCCCCGGGGGGGCGAGCGAGGGTCCTGGTCGTGGGTCTGGTATACAGAACTCCCTCTCTGGGGCGCGGTTTTTGTATGCTGAGAGGGGCACCGAGCGGTGGAATCTGACGGGGGCGGGGTGGGGGCGGCATACAAAAAAATATCCCGGCAAAGCAACCTAACAGCGATGTGTATAAGCATATCTGGAAGCATTCCCCTTAAGATTCAGGTGAGAATCCAGTTGTAGAATTCTGCTGTTCTCGCAGTCGCAGTCGCATTCGCAATGACAGTCGCAGTGGCAACGGCCTTAGGATCCAGTGGAATCCTAAGGATTCCCAGGGATTCCTAAGGCATCCTTAGGCATCCTTAGGAATCCATAGGAATCCTTAGGAAACCTTAGGAATTCTTAGGAATCCTGATTCCTAGGGATTCCTAGGGATTCCTAGGGATTCCTAGGGATTCCTAAGAATTCCTAAGGAATCCTAAGGATTCCTATGGATTCCTGAGGATGCTTAACTATGCCTACGGATTCCTAAGGATGCCTACGGATTTCTAAGGATTCCAATGGATTCCTAAGGATTCCTATGGATTCCTACGGATGCCTCAGCCTGCCTCAGTTTCAGCCTCAGCCTCAGCCTGCCTCGGCTTGCCTCAGCCTCAGCCTCAGCCTGCCTCGGCCTCAGCCTCAGCCTGCCTCAGCCTCAGCCTCAGCCTCAGCCTCAGCCTGCCTCGGCCTCAGCCTGCGTCAGCCTCAGCCTCAGCCTGCCTCAGCCTCAGTCTGCTTCGGCTTGCCTCAGCCTCAGCCTCAGCCTGCCTCGGCCTCAGCCTGCCTCGGCCTCAGCCTGCCTCAGCCTCCCCTCCTCCCCCCCCCTCCCTTCCCCCCCCCCCCATTCAGCCTCACCTTGTCTCAGCTTCGGCCTGCCTCGGCCTCATCCTCAGCCTCAGCCTCAGTCTCAGCCTCAGCCTGTCTCGGCCTGAGCCTGCCTCGGCCTCAGCCTCAGCCTGCCTCAGCCTCAGCCTGCCTCAGCCTCAGCCTCAGCCTGTCTCAGCCTCAGCCTGCCTCAGCATCAGCCTCAGCCTCAGCCTGAGCCTGCCTCGGCTTGCCTCGGCCTCAGCCTCAACCTGCCTCGGCCTCAGCCTGCCTCAGCCTCAGCCTCAGCCTGCCTCGGCTTCAGCCTGCGTCAGCCTCAGCCTCAGCCTGCCTCAGCCTCAGCCTCAGCCTCAGCCTCAGCCTCAGCCTGCCTCGGCGCCTGCCTCGGCGTGCCTCAGCCTCAGCCTCAGCCTGCCTCGGCCTCAGCCTGCCTCGGCCTCAGCCTGCCTCAGCTTGGGCATTCAAAATATGGCACAGGACTGGTGTTCTGGGAACACGAAGATCACGAAGTGGCCCACAGTTGGCTCCGGGCAATCAAAATATGGTACAGGAATTGTGTTCTGGGAACACGAAGAACACGAAGTGGCCTACAGTTGGCTCCGGGCACTCAAAATGTGGCCTGGGAGTTGCGTTCTGGGAACACGAAGAACACGAAGTGGCCCACAGTTGGCTCCGGGCATTCAAAATGTGGCCTGGGAGTGGTGTTCTGGGAACACGAAGAACACGAAGTGGCCTACAGCTGGCTCCGGGCATTCAAAATGTGGCCTGGGAATGGTGTTCTGAGAGCACGAAGAACACGAAGTGGCCTACAGTTGGCTCCGGGCATTCAAAATGTGGCCTGGGAATGGTGTTCTGTTGGCTCCGGGCAATCAAAATGTGGCTCCTGGCTATCAAAATGGGGAGTCCCCGGTTTTCCGCGGCACCCGTCCGGCATCTGCCCAGACCACCCTGGGGAGTCAAGATGCTCTCTTTTGACCCCACTAGAAACATATCAGTCTTCGCTGTTGGGTGAAAATCCTGGGGAGCATGATCTCTCCAAGGTCCGCACGGATTTCTCAGAGCCGCGCTGGACCCCTCCCTCCCTGGCGCCGGAGGCACCGCCAGGGGTGGGGCCCACGCCGATCCCAGAGCTCCGCGCGAAGCTCCTGAAGTGCGCGTTCATGCCACATGCTCTCCCTCGACGTCCGGGCGTTGCTTCAAGGGGGGTGGGGGGGGACGATAAATGAGGGGGGAGGAGGAGGAGGAGGAGGAGGAGGAGGAGGAGGAGGAGGAGGAGGAGGAAGAAGAGGAGGGAGGAGGAGGAGGAGGAGGAGGAGGGGGGGCGGCCCCAACAATGAAGCTCCTTTCGAGCACAAGGGGTGCACCTGTCGTCCCCCCCCCCCCCTGTGTCGCCCCCCCATTGCGCAACTCGGGGGCGGCCAAGAGGGGGGCGTCCAAAAGGAGGGGAGGCGCAAATCACGGCCGGGCGGCATGTGCGCGGCCCAGGGGGGAGGCGGGGGGCCAGGGACGCCATGACATGAGAAGAGGCGCCATAAAGTCTGGGGAAATAGAATGGCCCACGCCATGATATCCTCCCCCCTAATCCCTAGTCGTCACCCCCCTCTTCGCCGCCCCCGAGCAACGCCCGAGACACGTGGGCCAGAGGAGAGGTGGGCGTGGCGGTGGCCGCCGCGACCGCCGCGCCCAGCTGCGGCCGCGTCCCCGATGCCCAGAAAGCCCGCTGCCCGAGGACTCTCGGCGGTGGACAAGCCTACCTTTGGCAAACCACCCTTCAGCGAAAACGGCCCGGGACCGAAACCGACGGACCCGGACCCGCAAAAAAACGACGGCCGCGACGCTCCCCTCGCGAACCGAAAACGGCCCATTCGCGAATCGACGCGTCGGGGTGCAGTCGAGGTACTGCCAGAAGGAACGCCAGAGAAGGAACAGAGGGGCGTCTCTGGCCACGGTGTGCCTAGGCCGCAGGCAAATCCCGCCACACAAATCTCAGAAACGACCCAGATCCCCGAGCCCCTTCCGCACCCAGCGCGGTCCTTATCTCGGCGTCTTGGCTGCAGGAGGTCTGCCCACCCCCAAAGTTAAGAGGGCCCCGCGCGCGCGCTGCTTCGAGACCTCTCCGGGGGGGCGCTCACCCCCCCAAGCGCGCGGCCTCGGCGCCGCTGCGCCCGGGCTCCACGGCCGGAGGAGCGCCGCCCGGGGCAGCGGCGGCTCTCTCGCTGGGCCCAGCTTCAGGTCGGGCGTGTCCCCCCTACAGGCGGACTTTGGGCGAAAAATAAAAAAATATGGACACAAATACTTTAAAAAATGCACCAACAAAGAATCCCCCCCCCAACAAAAAAACGTCCGTGGACGATGTTTTGGCTATGTTTGAAGAGTCCTCCTGTAGAAGGACGTGCCCGACTTCAGCCCAGATCCGCGCAGAAATCGGTAGTCCCAAAACGGTGCGGTAACAGACCGTGCGGCGACCTCGTGCTCCGCGAAGACATCACCGCAGGGTCCGTCGCCGCACCGTTTCGGGACCTTGAAGACCCCGATTGCCCGAGGCATCCTGGGGGAACGACCACAAGTCCCAAAACTCTGCGGTCATCCCCAAATCCCCCCTGGCTCACCGCGCGGAGTGGTCGTCCATCCTGCTGACCCCATTCTCCGAGGCGGGCCCAGCCGCGACGACGAGCAGGAGGCCAACAAGAGGACGAACGACGCCAGGGAAGGCCCCGAGACGACGAACAGCGGAGAGGAAGGCCGCCGCCGCCTCGCTCGGACCCCCCTCCGAGACGGGCCTCGCTCCGGGTCGCCCGGCCGCCTCCAGGTCGCCGCCGAGCGCCGCGACGTCGCGCCGGCAGATCGCGCAGGTCCGGCCGGTCTGCAGCCACTGGGCCAGGCAGCCCCTGTGATCCGCCGCCGTGCCGCCCCGGCACGCTTCGGGGGCGGCCAAGAGGGGAGCGTCCAAGGGGGGGGGGGGGCGCAGATCATGGCCGGCGGCATGCGCGCGGCCCCCCAGGGGGGTGGGGCCAGGGGCGTATCATTGAGATCAGAAGAGGCGCCAACTTGAAATCTGGGGAAATCTCATGGCCCCCGCCATGATGTCCACCCCCCCCCCTAGTCATCCCCCCCCTCTTTGCCGCCCTGGCATGCGGAGGTAAAGTGCAGGGTGCCAGGTGCTGCCTGGAAGTGCTTCTGCAAGTTCGCCGCGCTGCCATAATTCGCGGGGCGCCGACGGAGGAGCGGAGGGGCTGGCTTGCCTCGGTCACGGCGGGCCTCTCGGCAACGGGCAGGTTCGCCGAGCTGGAGACAGGGTACGGCCCGAAAGCCAGAGCCCCGACCTTCTCAGAGGAGGAGGAGGAGGAGGAGGAGGAGGAGGAGGAGGAGGATCAGGAGGAGCAGGAGAAGGAGGAGGAGGAGAAGGAGGAGGAGGAAGGGAAGAGGAGGAGGAGGAGAACTCGATCCAGAGAAATCCTTCTCTCAGCGTCTCGACCGAAGTCTGCCTCAGGCCCCCCCTCTCACCCGGCGACGTTCTGCATGCGTGCATCGCCCTCTCGATGGCCAAGCATGGTTTCAAGAGACGCCCAGGAGCCCCTCATAGCGCCGAATCCTACGGTCGGGGCGTTGACCTAAGGAACCCTCCTCCTCCTTCTCCTCCTCCTTTTCTTTTTCCCCAAGCCTGAGACACACAGTGTCGGCCGACCAGATCTGACACAAATGCATAATGGAGAATCGCACGTCTACCCTCGGACAGGGGCGAGTGAGGCGCACAGCCTTGATACAATAGCGTGCATTCCTCGAGCGCCAAAACTTCTGCCCTGAAAGATGAAATAGGAGTCGGAATAAACGTTCCAGCCATCATTATCGGGTGAAACTCCCAGGCTGTACCATCCCATCGCCCGGCCTCCACCACCCACCCAGTGGCCGAACATGAGCCCGCGCGGGTACCTCCATCAGAATGCGCTACAACATTACACTCAGAAAGATGCACGCCGGGGAAAGGGTAATGGAAGCTTTTAGAGCATGACGCTCTTGAGTCCATTGTATAGTTAGCAAGAAAGTCAGCTACGACATTGTAACCTCGCTTCCGCCATGCGACGGGGTCGTGATGTGCTTGAGGAGGGGCCCATCCCAATTCGAGCATCGACACCAAGTTGTTGCAGATACTGCTGAATATGGGTTCGGCTTCATTATCTCTCAGAGGCACTTGTCCCATGGTGATGCGCTGCACAGGCTGGCAGTCGACGACAAGCAGGAAACGTGATCCGCAACCTTCCCAATCCACAACCATATCTTCGTACTGCGTTGCGTGGGTGCCTGGGCAGCTGAGGAGGTCCGGCATGCGCTGCCTCTTCAGTGGCGGTGTTCCTGCTGGACTATCCGGCTCTCTGTCAGCGCCCTTGCAGGCTACCCCCGGGAGTCCCCATGAGCCACAGATTTGGTTTATGAAGTGGGCCAAATTGGACTTCCAAGCCGCAGCCGTGCTGAACTGGTCCAGGTACTGGCGCCACTGAGTGCCGTATACAGAACAGAAAGCATCTTCCCATCCAGCTGGATGACCGGTTGTCCGCTGGGTGGCACTGAATGTTCGTCTGAGTTTCCACGGCGCTTGCCGCGCGCCGTCCCACCATTCTGATGATCTGTATCGGTGGAGTGCAAGAGCGTGTGCTTGAAAACGACGGTCGGGGAGGTGATTCTCCAGCCACGCTTGCATAAATACTGCACGGAATACCCGGTGATGCAAAAGCTGCACGCCAAATTTCACACCATGCACAGATAAGCAGAGCAGCGCGCTGGTTGTACTCCATTACCCCTTCGTCTGGTCGACGATGTAATCTTAGCACTTTCCGTAACCATTGGAACTCCCATCTTTTGATGTCTGCCAAGATGTGCTGGCTCAGATGCCACGTGCCAGCTCCGAATACAGCAGATGATGCCGGCCCCTGTTGCCACGAGCGCAGTTTGGACGGCACACTCCCAAGCCCGTTGAATGTGCAGGAGTGTGATCTGTAACACCCTTCGGCTTTGAGTAATCTATGATCCAAGCTCCGTCGCGTAGAACCTGCGTTATCAAGCGGATTCCCCAAAACTTCAATTTCAGTCACTCTACACATCACGACTGGGTTGCCTTCATGAACGGATGTCTCTGCCTCAATGGTATTTCCCCCTGGGGGCTCGATGCCACCTGCGCACAAATATTCTAAAGACGACTGCTTCCAAGTAAGTTTGTGGCGGTAGACTTGGATCGTGACCTCGGCCACCATCGTACGGAACTCGTCCACCCCTGAAGCGAATAAGAAAACATTGTCGGCCCAGACAAGGTGCGTCAATTTCGGAACGCCCTCACCGTGAGAGAAGCCGAAGCCACTCCTTGCCAATTCTGCAACCAGCGGTTCGAGAATGACCTCCAAGAACATGTTAAACTCGTCCGGCGTTTCGGCCCCACCTTGCTTACCTCCACATTCAAGAGGAAACCTCTCGGATGCTCCGGCTCCCGGCACGCAGAGACAGGCTTGAAACCCACTGAGTTCGCGGAGAAGGCATCGCACGAGCTGAGGGTGTAGCCCTCCTCCTCCTCCTCCTCCTCCTCCTCATCCTCCTCCTCCTCCTCTCCTCCTCCTGCTCCTCCTCCTCCTCCTCCTCCTCCCCCTCCTCCCCCTCCCCCTCCTCCTCCTCCTCCTGCTCCTCCTCCGCCCTCCTCCTCCTCCTCCTCCTCCTCCTCCTCCCTCCCTCCCTCCCCCCCCCCCTCCCTCCCTCCCTCCCCTCCCTGCCTCCCTCCTCCCTCCTCCCCCCTCCCTCCTCCCCCCCTCCCTCCCCTTTTCTCCCATAAGCTAAACTTCGATTTCCCATGGAAAACCTCAGGAAAATCCCAGGCAAACTGCACAACAATCAAGGAACACCGAGCCCATCCCCAGCGAAAACGGTTCCTTCTTCAGCGCCCCGACTGTAAGAGGCCTCCAAGAGGCCCCACGACGACGACACCCCCGAGGTGCTCTCCAGGAGGTCAAATTGAATTGACCTCGACTGCGCAGTTGCAGGAGTTTCGCCTGTCGCCCACTCTGATTTCTGTCAGCCCAAGACGGCCCCAGAGGCCTCCGACATGGCACAGGAGGCCCCTCCAGGAAGCCCTAAGACGGCCCCAGAGGCTCTCAAGATGGCCCAAGAGGCCTCCAAGACAGCCCCGAGACGGCCCAGTAGACCCCCAAGACGACGTCTTGGGCCCCAAGCAGGGCCCCAAGACGGCCCACAGAGGCCCCCAAGACGGACGCTCCCCAGAGGCCTCCAGGAGGCTCCCAAGAGGCCCCAAGAGAGGAGGACAGTCGCCACCCAGAATGCTGGGCTGGCTCAGTGGCGGGACTTGACGCAGTCAACTGGATACGCATGGCCGCACGGTGGAACTCTGATGTCGTCCTCCGGCTCCCAAGCGCCGAGGCATATCGGGCACTCCTTGGCGTATCGCCTACCGTCCTCGTCCCCGAACAGTGCAGGATCGTAGGGCACAGCAGCAATCTGCTCTATCGCGCCCGGCGGCGCCTTCTGCTTCCCGCGGCCAGGCACGACGCGCTGCGCTGCTCCGTACAACAGGTGCGCCCTCCAGAGCACGAGGGACGCGCACAAGTTGCCCGTGAGGCAGCTGAGGAGCGCGAATGTCTGGCACGCGCTGTACAGCACAGGGTTCGACGCCTCGCACTCGCGCGTGAGAACTAGCTGGGCCATGAACAGCGCCGAAGTCCCGCAGAATAAGTAGAGCGTGCCGTGGACAACCATGCCGTAGGCGAACAACAGGAACGGCTCCATGATAGAGGAACAAAAAACTGCACAAACATAAACTTTCGGAGATTCGCGCGGATGTCATGGCTCGGCGCTGGGCCCGCCTGGCGGCGCCGCTGGCGCCGCCCCTGGCGCACTCCGCGCTAAGGAAGGGGTCCCGACGCAGGCCCCACAGAAATCCGCGCACCTCCGAAAGTTTATGTTTGTGCTGTTGTTTCTTCTTCGCCATGTGCCCGCATTCCGCTTGCTCCCTAAGTTGCCCGAGGCAACTGTCGATGTGCACGAGGATGCGGACGGCGGCAAAGGCGCAGAAGAGCAGGACAACCAGCTGGCAGTAGCCCCCAAGCTGCTCGTCATTATGCGGACACCAACTGTGCTCGTCTATCGTCTTCAGGGCAGGCAGGACCGCAACGACAAAGTCCAGCAGCCAAAGAACGACGACAAAACCGGTCACAAACAGCAGCGCTAAGAAACAAGGGGGATACCTTGGCCCGGTCACCCTGCGCCTCATCCTTGCGGGCGTGCTGGCACTCGGGGTCCCCGCGGGCTGTTCTCCTGACTGCCCCTGCTCAGTAGGCACTATGGCCATGCTGGCACAGCGGAACGTCTGATCGGCTACTGTGCAGACGTGGGCCAGTGGCCTTGAACCAAAATGGCTATGGAAATCATCTGATGCGTGCGCGGGCCCGTGTGTGCGTGTACGCTTGCGCGCGCGCGTGCCCAGGGCGCGCCAGCCGAGCCTCTAGGAGCAGACAGCGCTCAAAACCCGTGGCACTCGAGCTGCACACCTCCACATGTGCAGACACATCCTCGCTGCCGGCTTGTGCAGCCGCACTGCCCGCTCTCATCACCGCATGGACGGGGTGCCGCTCTGCTTCCCGCACGCGCCAGGGCGAGCTCTCCGTGCCAGAGCCCCTCACGGTCTCCCACTCCCGGAGGGGGGGGGGGAGGTTGGAGCGTCTGCGGGGCAACGCCTTCAACCACTCTACTGCCGACGACGCCGCAGACGACCCGATTGGCCGAGGGCCCGGAGGGGGGGGGGGGAAGAGGAGGAGGAGGAGGGAGGAAGAGGAGGGAGGAGGAAGAGGAGGAGGAGGAGGAGGAGGAGAAAGAGGAGGAGGAGAAAGAGGAGGAGGAGGAGGCGGAGGAGGAGGAGGAGGAGGCCAGCACCACTCCCAGGGCCCCCCCGCCGCTGCGACGCCGCCCAGCCCCCCGTGCGCAGGGTGGCCCTCGCCTGCGGCGAGCGGGCTCCTGGCTGCGCAGAGCGGGCGGGGCCCTCCCCACCGGGAGGCCCCGCCCGAGGTCGGGCACGTCCCCCTGCAGGCGGATCTTCGCCTGAAAAATCAAGAACGGTCAAGAAACGATTCAACAGCAGTCACAAATGGTCGGCGCATCGCCCCGAGAGCACTTCTGCTCCTGTCTTGGAGAACATTCCTCCCGTAGAGGGACAGAACCGACGTAAGCCTGACCCTCGCCTGGAGGGCGGCCCGGATTCAAGACGTCGCGGCATGGGGCAGTATACTCTTCTCGCCCGCCTCGTCGGCGAGCCTGCTGGGACCGTCTGCCGGGGTTGAAGGTGGTGCGCACGTAGATGCAGAGGGGAGCGGTGCATCTGCCCAAAATGCATGCGCTCCGTCTCTTCAAGGTCCTGTCTGGGAGCTTGGAAGAGGAGCGGCCCGTGCATGTTTCGTGCATGCTTCGGCATCGTGCGTGCATTGCCAGATGGTCCAGGATGCTCCTCGATGGTCCTCGCCGAGAGAAAAAAATGCACACGCCCGAGCCAGAAATGGCATAAACATAAACTGTCGGAGGTCCGCACGGATTTCTCGGATCGGCGCCTGGGCCCCCTGGCGGCACCTCCGGCGCCGCCCCTGGCGCGCTCCGCGCGCTGGGGAGGGACGGCCCAGCGCCGATACGATAAACCCGCGCGAACCTCCGAAAACGTATGTTTATGTCACTGTCACTGTTTGTTCCCCGATCGTTTCTCATACAAACACACGAACTCCACACTGCACAGTCTCGACTGCCATGCGGTTCAAAGAGTCGCCATGCAAACCTGGTGCAACCCACGAGCCGACCTGCGACAGGCAAATTCATGAGGTGAACCGTGGCCTGAGAGCGTGCGAACGCGCGTGAAAGGTAATGAGTGTAGAGAAGAGGGCGTAAAAGGAAGGAAACGACCGCAACTCCTCCTGCTTGTTCCCCGACAGTGCTGCTTGGACCGTCCAATGCAACCCTTTGGCGCTGCACGGTTTCCCACGGGGCCGTAGGCGACCCGACGAGGAGGAGGAGGAGGAGGAGGAGGAGGAGGAGGTAGGGGAGGAGGAGGAGGAGGAGGAGGAGGAGGAGGAGGAGGAGGAGGAGGAGGAGGAGGAGGCGGGGGAGGAGGGGGAGGGGGAGGGGAGGGAGGAGGAGATGGAGGAGGAGATGGAGGAGGAGGAGGAGGAGGAGGAGGAGGAGGAGGACGGGTCGCCTAAGCCCTTCGGAGAAACCCTCCACTCGGCGCGCCGGAGGCAGAGAGGCGTGCCCACGCCTGGCTCAAGCTGCAGGCCCTGCCCAAGCTCGGCCCCCTGGGCACCCTCTGGCCGGCCACGGGCGGGGGCGGCGAACCGACGGCCACGACGACCGCCGACCGTGACTCGCAGAACCACGACGAGCGCCCGACCTGTCGACCACGACCGCGCCGACGGCAGAACAGGTTGCCCGGGCGAAGCACCCCAACAGCAGCCAAAGATGCAGCTGGGACACGAGAGCACGGCCATGTGCACCCTGGTTTGTATTGAACCAGGGAGCGTGGCCGTCCAGACCACAACTGCAGCCAGCGTTGAAACGAGATCACGATCTCTGAATGACTTGCGAAGAAGTCTCAGGCGAAACGGTTGCTGGACCAGGCGGTCTCGAGCTCGCCGTACCCCCTGCGGAACTCTCTTGCGACCTTCTTTTATTTTACCAATACTAAAACCCCCTGGCGAAACGCTGTTAGGAAAGCAGCAAGGTTGCCAAGTGAGCCCTCGGCAGCGGCGGCAACGACGGCGACGGCGGCGGCTGGCTGGCCGGCCTGGCTGCCTATTGCCCGCCAACAGCACCGCCCTCGCCGCGGCTCGCCCTCGGAAGTGCGGGGGGGTGACGGGGAGGGGGAACCCTGACCTCCTTCCAGAGTGCTAAAGAAGAGCCCTCCAGGCTTATAGACTCGTCAGGACTGCTTGAGACCGGGGCTAGAAATCATACTCGGACGTCCTGGTGCTCTGTTTTGCCCTCGTGGAAGGCTCGGGAGGGAAGGAAGCACTCCATAAAAGGCAAATTCGTCCACCAGCTAGACACCACTCAAAGGCCCAGAGGCGATCCTCGCTGGAAAGAATCCAAGAACGCCCAGAAAGCTGACGGGGGAGGGGACGAAGAGGGGGGCAAGGGGGGGCGCCCCCTTCCTCCTCCTCCTCCTCCTCCTCCTCCTCCTCCTCCTCCTCCACCTCCTCTTCAACTTTCTCTTATTATTACCCTATGATTGTTCAGAATAGGATCATAATTCTCATTATGCGTATTATCGTTCTGCATATTGTTATGTCTACTAGTACTCGTAGTTCAATAATTAATACGACTGGCACTAAACATACTATTCCTTATATATCGTTCGATATCATGAATAATACGAGTATTCCTATTATTAGTATTGCATTACTCATATTAATAATAGTATATTCATTGTTACTACGGTTATTGTTAGTATTATGATGCTGTGTACTACCGTTATACTTTTATACTACGAAAAAATCATTGCTAGAATTACCATTATTACTGTTACTATTCAACCTCCTCCTCCTCCTCCACATCCTCCGCATCCTCATTCTCCTCCTCCGCATCCTCCGCATCCTCATCCTCATCCTCTTAGTCCTCCTTATCCTTCATCCCCTCCGCCTCCTCCTCCTTCACACCCTCCTTTTCCTCCTCCTCATCCTCCCCCTCCTCTTCCTCATCATCATCATCATCATCATCATCATCATCATCATCATCATCATCATCATCATCATCATCATCATCATCATCATCATCATCATCATCATCGTCATCATCATCATCATCACAATCAGCATCATCATCATCATCATCATCATCATCATCATCATCATCACAATCAGCATCATCATCATCATCATCATCATCATCATCATCATCATCATCATCATCACCATTTGTTGTTTCTCCTCCTTTTCCCCCTCCCTCTGTCCACCTCCTGCTTCCCCCTCCCAATCCCCCCTCCCCCTGAGCCCCCTCCTCATCCTGCGAAGTAGGAGGAGAAGGAGGAGGAGGGACTCTTCGAGATTCGAACAAACCCAAAACAAAAACAGACTCTGCCGAAGCTCAACGCAGATTCCTTGGGTCGGCGGTGGACCCTGCCGGTGGAGCCTCTGGCGGCGCCCTGGCGCGCTCCGGCGCCGATCGAACAAATCCGGGCAGACCTCCAAACAAGAAAATGTGTGCGCACTGGTTCTTCTTCGGCATGAGGAGGAAGGAATGAAGGATGTGGAATGGAATACATAGAATGGAATAGAACGGACTCGAGTGGAAAAGAATTGAATGGAATGGAGTGGCATGGAACGGAATGAAATGGAACGGAATTGATGGAATGTAGCGGAATGGAATGTGATAGAATAGAACGGCATGGCACGGCACGTCACGGCACGGTATGGCCTTCATTTGAATGGAATCTAATGGAGTGGACAGGGCTGGAACGGAATGGAGCAGAATGGAAGGGAGCGGAGTGGAGTGGACTGGACTGGACGGGAAGGGAAGGGAAGGACATAGAGCGGATCACTTTCGCGATACGAACTCGAAACGACAAACCAACTACATACGAGGACGTCCTGCCGGGTGTTCTTGCCCCGCGCGCCGCAGCGGCAGCCCCTGCCACACGCCGCGCGGCGTGCAAGCTGATAGCGCGTCGCTCCGCTCCCTGGGGGGGGGCGGGGAGGCTGGGGAAATCCCCGAACCTTTCTCTCATCTGCACCAATCCACAAACAAGCGTGCAGCCGCTGAACAATCGGGAGCGGCCACGAGGGGGGCGTCCAAGAGGAGGGGGGCACAAATCATGGCCGGCGGCACGTGCGCGGCCCAGGGGGGGGGGGGCAGAGACGTGATGAAATGAGAAGAAGCGCCGTGAAAACTGGGGAAACATCATGGCCCCATGATATCCACCCCCCCAACTGGCGACTGGCGCAGGCCCGGGCTAGGCGGTGGGGGGGGGAACGCGAGGCGGCGTCGCGGAACCGAGCAACCTCGCCGACGCTTCCCCCTCGCCAGGCGCTGGGCCAGCCCAGCCTCGACACACCCAGGAGCCACCACGACGCCACTGCGCTCGCGCAGCAAGGTCGGGCGGGCGGGGGAAAACGCATTCCGCCAGCGGGACGGCCAAGCGGGAGGCGAATCGTGAAGCCCACAGCGGCGCTGCGTGGGGCCTGGGCCGTGTTCCGCGCGCCGCGCGCCGCGGCGTGATGGGCGACAGGCCGGCGGCGCGGCACGCACGGAGCAGGCGTCGCTGACCACAACCCCGCTCGAGCCCTGAAACGGGGGCCACTGGCCACCGGTGAGGAGGAGGAGGAGGAGGAGGAGGAGGAGGACGAGGAGGAGGAGGAGGAGAAGAAGGAGGAGGAGGAGAATGAGGAGGAGGACGAGGACGAGGAGGAAAAGGAGGAGGAGGAGGACGAGGAGGAGGAGGCGGAGGAGGAAGAGGAGGAGAGGCGGAGGAGGAGGAGGCGGAGGAAAAGGAGGAGGAGGAGAAGGAAGAGGAGCCGGAGGTGGTTTTGGTGGTGGTGGTGGTGGTGGTGGTGGTGGTGGTGGTGGTGGTGGTGGTGGTGGTGGTGGTGGTGGTGGTGGTGGGTGGTGGGTGGTGGTGGTGGTGGTGGTGGTGGTGGTGGCGGGGGCGGTGGCGGTGGCGGTGGCGTGGCGGTGGCGGTGGTGGTGTGGTGGTGGTGGTGGTGGTGGTGTGGTGGTGGTGGTGGTGGTGGTGGTGTGGTGGTGGTGGTGGTGGTGGTGGGTGGTGGTGGTGGTGTGGTGTGGTGGTGGTGGTGGCGGTGGCGGTGGGTGGTGGTGGTGGCGGTGGTGGAGCCGTCGGGGGCCATAGGGAAGAGGAGGAGGAGGAGGAGGAGGAGGAACTAGGGCGCGGCCTGACCGACCCCTGGCCATCCCGCTTCGTGACGCCAACCTCGCCTTTCAAGCTTCCCTCTGGCCGCATACATGTTTTCGGTCGCAGCATGGCAGCGGCAATCCGCACGCGCGCTCGGGCAAGCCGGGTGACGGCATCGCTATCCGTCCGGCAGCAAGAACAGGAAGAAAGGAAGGAAGAAGTGGCCACGGGTCTGGGGGAGAAGGGGGAAAGCGCTCACGCGGCGGGGGCCGGGGGGGGGCCGGCCACACACGTGCGTCTCGGGGCGGGGCGAGGGGGACGTTACGAAAAGGGATAGCTTGCCAAAGGTCGGTTAGGCCGCCCCTGCTGAACCTCTCGAGCTACCCCTGGCGGGCGCCGCTCAAAGGCTCAGAGCACGGCCCCACTAGGGGCGTCTGGAGCCGTTCGCTCCCGAAGTGCCCGCCCAACCTGCAGATCCAGGCATTCGAGGAGCACGAGCATATACGCAGGAGAGTGGGATGGATGGAACCAGCCCCCTCCTAAGTGAACTGGGCCCGTTCCCCCTGAGGATGGCCCGCCGCTGCACATCCAGGCACTCGAAGAGCACGAGCATATACGCAAGAGAGTGGGATGGATGGACTCGGCCCCCTCTGCCCGTTCCCCCGAGGATGAAGAGGAGGAGGAGCGCGAGAGGGAACCCGCTCAGGGGGGGAAACATCGACTTGCACATCGCCGATCGCTCGGCGACACGCCCCCGATAGCGAGAGCGCACGGTCCTGGGCGGGGTGAGCCATCCGTCCCCTGCGGCGATGGATGGGCGATTGGCGGCCGACGCATCCCCCGGGAACCCATCCCCCCCCCCCTACCGCTGCCCCCCCTGAATGAACCAGACCCGCTCGCCCCGAGGAGGAGGGGCTCTTCGAAGACCTGCGGCCGACGGCGAAGTCAGGTGGAAGGTCTGGCCGCGGCGGGCGGGCATGTCGCGGCGGCCCGCGCGCTTCTGCTTTGGAGAGGCCGCATTGCTAGCCTCGGGCGGGAGGGGCGGAGGGGAAGAAAAACGAGGGGGGAGGGAGGGGAGGGGGGGGGGAGGAGGGGGAGCGGAGGGGGGAACTCGCCGGCTGCTCCGGAGAGCCACCCACGAGGGACGCTGATTTCGAAAAGGACGTCTGGCTCGATGGCATCTTCCAGGGCCAGGCCCATCACCTCCCGATGGCATTGGCTGGATTGCTCGGGCCCTCTCTGGGAGGCCCAACGTGGCCAGCAGGAGCCGCTCCATGGCGAGGACCAGACGCGTTTCCCATGATAGCTGCCAGGATGAGGCGCTCTCGCCGCCCCAGTGATTGAGAGGCTTAGGAGTTAGGAGGAGGGGAAAATAATATTTGCTTTCCGATCTTGAGCCAAAGCGGTGAAGGAACGCTCTCTGCGGAAAACGGAACCCAAGGGGCGGGCTCGCTCCGCCTAGGAACCAGGATCCGTGGGAGGCGGGCGAATAACGCACCCACCAGCCTCCCAGTCGCTCCCATCACTCCATGCCCTAAGCTGGCTTCTCTATGTCAGTCCTACGCCGTCTGCTTGAACTCAAGGGCCACCGCTGCGCATATAACACGCGAGGAAGCCCAGGTAGCGGGAAAATGGATCCCACCTTCGGGATCCTTGTTCGGCATTTGTGCCGACAGCAATCTCTACATCTACGATCCCTGAGTTCCACGCTGTTGCGAGCTAAGATAGAATGATCTGGAAACGCTCAGCCAGAAAGTGTGCTCAGAACGTTTCGGAACATGCTTCCCAGAACATTATGAAACCAGGCTGTGCCGCGACCTGACATATGGATCTGGCCACCTAGCTGCGGCTTCTGGCCAGGATGCGTCACGAATTGCAACCCTGAGGTGTCGCGCCATCTACCCCCACACACGGGGAAGGGGGAGGGGGGGGCAGGGGGAGAGGAGATGAGGGAATGGAGGGCGGGGAGGGGGAGGGGGAGAGAGGAG